ATGCCTCAATTTTTATGTTATTTTCGATTCAGATGCGAGGACAATTTCAAATTGACGAAATTTTACCTGCTATCGGTCCAAACGCTTGATATGTGCATATTGGGGATCTTTTTAGGCCGGAAACAATCCGTCGAGCTCAAAAAACTCTCATGTGAAAATTTGATTTTTGGTCGAAATTTTTCTATGGGTTGGGGTCGATTTTTCAAAAAATATCAAATCGCTCAAAATGCCTCTAATTTTACATCATTTTCATCATAAGGAAACGCGGAATACACCGAGCTAATTGGCAAAGACTTTAGTAGCTTCAGGTCCGAAATAATGGATATTTGTGGCCCAATTTAAGCGATTTTTGAGCTGAAACGTTCTTCAACCGCCGATATATTTCTTAGTATAAACGCAAAATCTACACACAATCTACAATGCATCTTTTGAAAACAAATTGAAGGTTGAATTGAATTCGCAATTAAATACTTCCCGGCCGAGTTCGCATATAGGCCCATTGACAGAAGTCGCCTATGCCTGCACGTGGAAATTACGGCCTACTACACCACAAATCGCCGGTTATATGCCAATAAATGATTTTTCAGATGTGGCGCAATCGTGGTGAAAATGAGTTTAAGCACTTAATAAGTATTGAGGAAAGGCCAAAAAAATTAAGAATTCAATAAAGTTCAAATTCAATTGAAAAGAAATATCTCAGGATTATTAAATAACCAACTCAAACCCAAATATTTTTTTTCTTCCCAACAGCGAAACACTGGCGTGCACTGTTTTTTATTTGTTTTTTAAAACAAATTGAAGGTTTCAAGACAGCAAAGACTTAAATGAATATAATGCTTACCAATTGTGAGTTTGTATGAATTTTAAAATCTGATGATTTGACGAAAAGTAATGAGATAAACAATATGCAAATTTTTGTTTCACACTTTGGCTGGAGCCCAGGAAAGAAATTAATATAATAACAATTCCATGCAGACAGGAAACTAAACCAAAACTAAATAATATCGCAAACATCCTGCTATGCCTATGCAATTGAATATGCGAATATCAGTTGTTTTACTTGCATTAATTTACTTAAATTAAAAAGTGCGTTCCACTTCCTCTTGCCTGCATATTTTTAGAAACAAACCCTGTCCGTGGTGATAAAGCGAAAACATTTCACTTACTGTTCAGTTGCAGTTTTCCCCAAAATAATCGATGAGAAAAAATTGTCTTGATCGGCACTAAATCTCACTCAACGCGAGTCATTCGTTCACAAAACAGCGTTTTTTCACTCTAGTAGGATCGGTCATGTTTGGAAATGATGCAGGAAACGCCGGTCAAGCAACTACTAAAAAAATCTCTGTAAATCCGCACACGCAAAGCTATAAGACAACACACTAGTAATTTATCAATTGAAAGTGCGATATAAACAAAATTAAAGCGCGCTTTTATCAAATCGGTCCGCAAGCCGGCAGGCAGGGTATTGTGCGCTAGCGAAATTCGCGCGGATCTAGATCTGGTCGGCAGCCTGTCCATCCGGAGCTTTTATTGGCCTGGCAGCGAGGTTTGAGGGAGCGCTTATCCGGATTTGATGTGGAGATTTTTACGATTCGAGATCATTGTTGCGATCATCATCAAAAGCCTTTGGACTTTTCGAAATTTTGAATCCTGCTGATACTTCCCAAGTATTTGCAATGGAAGTTCCACATCCTGCCATCGAGTTCCTTATCTGAAAGATCGTGACTTTTCAATTGTTGCGCAAAGGGATTCTCCGGTATTGAACTGGTCAAGGCAGTGAAGATCCTTGATGCAGAAGAATTCCCAGAAACAGGCTGAAATGCTGATGATCGTTTCGATCTTCTAAAAGCAGCGGCAATTTACGTTCGTGTTAGTTGGGGATTTTGCAAGAGCAGATTCACTTGATGAATTTCGATTGTGCAGTGCATTAATTGCCGCA